TTGTCAATTCATTTGGCTATAAAATGGCTCCCCAGGCACCTAGAGACACCAAAATTTCAGGAAGCTTCCTCTGACTATCCCCTATGATCCCTCCAAGATTGGTGAATATTGGGTTTCAGAAGTCTGAGTTATACACCCACATAGAGCCCCACCAGGAAAGTTTCCCACAGGCACCTAGAGACACCAAAATAATGTTGAAGCTTCTACTGACTCTCTTCTACAATCCTTTCAAGTTTGATGAACATTGGGTTTTTCCAAGCCAGCTGCTAAAGGGCACTTTCCGGGGGGGGGGCGGAATTTGTGGGTGTATAACATGGATATCTGAAACCCATTATTCACCCAGACTTGTAGGATTTGTAGAGAAGGGTCAGGGAAATCCTCTCTGTGAATTTTGTGCCTCCAGGTGTTTTTTTGGGGGGTCATTTTATAGGGTTTTAAAGTAAAATAATGAATTGACAATTAGTCAAAAAATGTAAATTCATATTTTTTGATTCATCAACTTTGATGAATCACAAATGAAAATGAATCACCATTTTTCTGATTCATGCCCATCTCTAGTTACCAATAAGGAGGGTTAATGTATAGGAGACACATAAGCCCACGCTCTGCTCTCTTGACTGTTTATGCTTTTGCTCTTCACCAGGTGTTGATTAGCTTCTCCTTGTGTGATGGCACACATGTTCACTTTATGTACCATGTAGAAGTTGGATTAAATCTCATCCCCAATATTCAAAGGGGCACTATCTCAGAGCATGGAACAACTCATTTTTTACTTCAGTTTCCACAATCCTGATGACACCACCGGGGATTCTGAGAGTTCTAGAAAAAACTAACGTTTCCTAGCTCTGCTAGTGTTTTAGATATCTGGCTTCAGAGCCAGAGACTGGGAGTTCGATTCTCAACTGTGCCTCCTTGATAGGGGCTAGACTCAATGATCCATATGGTCCCTTCCAGCTTTGCAGTTCAAAGATGATGACAATGATGATCTCCTACCCTTACAGAAATAAAGGGAAAGTGAGAAAGGCAGCAATGAGCAATCAGCAACATCTGATATAAAACTCCTCTGTTCTGCTGCCTCCCTTTCTTATCATTCTTTGTCTTCTGCAGAAAAGCACATTTTCCAGATAATACTCTGGGAATCAAATGTGAGAAGAGGGAGAAGAATAAAGGTGCCATCCCATTAGCCAGAAACCTGTTACTTACTCCTACAAGTAACTTACACCTTCGCATTCCTTCATTTTATATAGGAATTAATTCTGAGCCACAGAGGTTTTATAAAGTAATGTGTCCGACTTTACAGAGCATAATCCTCTATTTTAAGATATCCTCTATGTCAGGGGTGCAAACTGGAGCCCCCAAACCTAGGATGTACTTTTTTTGGAATATTCAAAAAAGGCCCCCTTGCCTTCTTTGGGAGTATTGCAGAGGGTAAAGTTGCCAGGTCACTCCTTCCCCATGAGCAGCTTTAAGTTCAGCGTAGCTGGTTACTTCCAGTTTTGAAACAGGTCCTTAAAAAAAAGCTGACAAAATTTCTACTACTGCTCACTAGAGCATGCAAGGGTGTGTATGCTGCATGCTAATTCGTGTGAATGGTGTACAACAGGGACTGCAACAGCTGGCTTTTCAACTAGTGACAATTTGCCATTGAAATTTACGCCAATGGGATTAACCCTTGTGGATATAAATAGGATTCTGACTAGTGGGGCAAATTATGCTAGAATTTTATGCCAGTGCAACACAAAGTGCATAATTTTGGCGGAAGAAATCACCATCAGCATTGTCTGTTGTGCACTCATTATCTGCATAACAGATCATGAGCACAGTGATTTCTTAACTTGAGGCAATTCGTCCCCCAAAATGATGCAATTTGCTTTATGCTTGTAGGTATAATTTATAAGATTTTGCTGTTATTTCTAATGTCCATCTATGCATATAAGGTAGCATACACATATCTGCACACTTTCTTACTTTTTGATTTTGGGTTACATTTCCTCTTTTCTGGTAATGTCTTAGCTCCATTTCTAGTTGTGTGCTAAGCTTTTTAAATATATATATTCCTTCCCGTTTCCATCCTTTTCCCTTCAAGTACACTAAAGCTTGCAAAAGACAACTGTGTCTGAAAGGATCTTTTATAAAGCAGTATTACTAATTAATATTCTGGTAGGTGTTCTACATCAAAGTACAAAGACCTCCACTGGCAATTATAGAAAACTGTAAAAAGAATGCACAGAACGAAACAGGATGTTCGCTAATCTGGCCATTGAGTAAGTGCAAAACAATGCTGCCATTGAAGAATGTTCACATTTTCCCAATGGACTTCTCTCTCCCATGAAACACATTAAAAAATCACAAGGGTGCTAACAATAATCCAGCTTTTCTTGCGTTGCACCTTTATTGTACAGATCGTCCTAAAGACCAAATAGAAAATGCCTACAGTTTTTTTTAAGGTGCTAAATTACTATATAGTTCTGACACTTCTAGAAGGAAAATAGCAGTTCAGGTCCACTGGGAGCAACAGGGAGCTGAAGTTACAGGAAACTAGATTTTTTAAGGGAGTAGTTTTACTGCCTACTGCAAAGATGGGTTAAAAGAAGGATTGTTGTTTCTGGCGTGTGCACTAATCAGACTTTAGATGCCCTGGGGGTGAGGAGCCTACCTGTCAATCTGAACAACAGCAGATATTCCCTCCCTCCTTCCCTTTACATTTAAAACTCAACATTTCTCCTTTCTTGTGCTTCCTCAGTTCCCATCACAGTATGTGCATGTCTTGTATGGACAAGGTTTTCACCCTTTAAACACAATGCTCACTGTGTTGCAGGCTTCCTGCTCCTACCTGCCTCTTGTCTTGGTTCTCTTGTTCAATGGCCAACTCAGCCCTTTGTGCCAGCCTTCAGCCTTGATAGTTGTCTCTCAGATCTCCCCTGAGCAACTACAGTATTCCTTAACATCCGTTGCCATGACTCTCCCTCTTCCCAGCATGCCATTTGCCTGGCCATTGTTACTAATGCCCCTTGTTTTTCCTCTGCCACAAACATATTGGCCAGTTCTATGGGCAAGAGGCTTGCCCCTGTTGCTGATAAAATGCTTGGAACACTCAGTCTCTATTCAGACTACTCCATGCACTGATAACATTCGGGCTAAAGTGCCAAACCACTTCCTGAGAGCTATATGAAATGGCTTGCCTATGGCCCAAACTAGATGATACAGTTAGCATTTCATTAGAAACGGAGCTCCCTAAAGAGATAAAGGATGCCTCAATGTCCTAGAACAAGCCTGCCTCATTCTGTACTTTGTATATTAACTTGCTTGTGCTTTGTGACTGGTCATTAGAAGGTAAATACTGACTTCATTTTGCAAGTCTGACTGCTCTTTGACAGAATAGCATGCCGGAATGGAAAATATAATAGCATTTCCCTTAATATGTGACATGTACTGTCTTCTTCAAAGTAGTTGCAGTTCTTTCCCTTTAGCCCACCCTCTTAGCTGGAAAACAGGGTAGCCACTTGTCAATTGCTCCAGAAGAGGAAATGCATCCCCAGAGAAGAGGATAAAATATTTGGGTACCATTTATGTGAAGTAATTTGTATGCAGAGACACAGATGGAGAAATAATGACTCTTAAGTTTAACTAGGAGCACAATCCATCCCATCATAGTGGGGAAGACTATTGTGATCTTTAAGCCTGCTGCCCAGTCTGCTTTCTAGGTGTTAACCAGGCATCGGGCTCAGCAGTACCCTGTACCCTGAGATTTCAGGGCTGAACCTGAGACCAGAGGACAGGTTCCAATGATGTCACAGAGGTGGGGCAGGCGGAGGTTGAGGGCAAGGCTGAAAGTGACACAATGTGTGCCTCAGCCTTTAAAATCCATCCATCCATCCATCCATCCATCCATCCATCCATCCATCCATCCATCCATCCATCCATCCATCCATCCATCCATCCATCCATCCATCCATCCATCCATCCATCCATCCATCCATGTTCTACTCCTTGTGCTTGCCTTATAATTGTTCTCTTGCTTGGAGAGCTGGAAATGCAGAGCAATTCTCAGACAGTTCAGCCAGCATCTTGGAGCTCAGCAACCCCAGTTCTGTGGATGGGCAAATTTTTGGCCGCTGCTCTTTCTTCTTATGGTTGTTTAAATTATCTAAGAGCGTGGAGAATGGAGGGCTGTTCCCTGGAAAGCCAGCCAGTTGGGGAGCAACGAAGTCCCCACCATTCAGAAGCACTTCAGATATTCCACCTGCTTTTATAACTGCTGTGGCCAGAATCCAGAATCCACATAGTGTAAAGTAGGCAATTGTGTAAATGAGCCCATCTGTGCTGCCGAATGTCCATTGCGTCCTTGGATCAGGGAAGCAGTCACGTGCCTGCTCATATGCTTGGTTGCATGACAGAAGGAAACTGAAGAGGGAAAAGCTGGTGTGCAATTGCCTTTATGTATGCATTTCCCCCTCAAGAATCCTGAACCATGTGATTCAATATGCAAGAAAGAGTATCTACGGAAATGTCTTAACTTGAGACAGTTTGCCTCCAAAAGCTACACTTTTGAGGTAGCTACACAAGTGGATTTCAGCCTCAGGCTGCTTGTTAAGACTGGGTCGCTATAAAATCTGAGTAAATAACTCTGTCCCAGTACAGATTCCAAATGAGCAGCTGCGTTGGTCTGTTGTGGCCAAGGGGACAAAGACTAACATTTACTATAATAAATATACACAATAACATATAATAATTTCCGTCTTCATGATATAAATTGATTATAGCCATATTATGATATAATAAATCTGCTAGTGTTTAAGTTCCCCAGGAGTCTTTGTTTCTTGAGAATTGTATTATGTGTAAAACATACCATTAGTTGCCTTTGGGAAAATTTAATATGAGAAATACAACTCGTTCCTTACTTTGCTCCATGATTTCATGCCCCTTTATTTCTTTTCTGGAGTCATTATATGGTGCCTAACCCAATGTATTTCTTTCCTTCCACATCCTTCTGGAAGAAGCAATTTTGGTGCATCAAAGTCCCCTGCACGTAGTTGTGAACGGAAATGCAGAGATCTTCTGTAACTACACCTATGAGAAGAAGGTGGAGAAATTCAACGTCTGGCTGCTTAAAGGAGTTCCAAAGAGAGAGGCCGTCTGCTCATTCAAATGCAGCAGCGCCTGCATAATTCAAAACGACACGACGGGATTCAGCTGCCATGTTACAAGAAAAGAAAAAGGAGTAGTCTTTCAGCTGCAGAACCTATCCACGGGTCAGACGGACGTTTATGTCTGCAAAATTGAAGTCACTTACCCACCGCCTTATGTAGACGATGAAAGTAACAACGGAACCTTCATTAACGTGACAGGTAAGACCATGAAAGGAATTTCTGATTGGTCCCATCGACGTGAGTCTCCGAATCTCTGCCACCAGGGTTTAAATGGTGAGATCGCCCACAGGGAGGTCCACCAACAGCTAATAGTCATCATGACTTGTCGTGATCTCCAGTGTCAGAAGCAATCGGCCACTGCATGCCACATGCTGGAGAAGATTAATGGGAGGGTGCTGGTGGAGATAATGTCTTGCTTGTGGTCAAATAGGTCCTCAGCTGGCCACGGTGGGGGAAACAGGACGCTGGACTAGATCAATCTTTGGTCTGATCCAGTATGGACCTCCATGAGTTTATGCTGGCCTAGTATGAACCAATAATTTACCGAAAAACAGCAAGCCCAAACAGTGAGAGTCAAATTATGCATCTTCAAAAACACACATAAGCTGAGAGTTTTTGTTCGGGACAAAACGTTGCTGAAGAGACCCCAGTTTGGACCATGCTCCCGATTCAGATTCACTTTCTGATGGAGAAAGGAACCTGAGCACAAGACGTTCCTTGTCACAACCCCACGGCTCTTCGCCCCTCCTCAAGAGCACACTCTGGACTACAGCTCTGTCTGTACCTTTTGTGCCTTTGACACAGAATTGGTTGACGAGAGGTAAGAAGACATGAGTAAGGCCACATTCGATTTAGTCCTCTACTGCTTCTATCTCCAGTTCACAGCCGCTCAGAGTGGTATTGACCTACCATGAGGTGAGAAGACATGTAAGGCCACATCCGATTTAGTCCTCTATTGCTTCTATCTCCAGTTCACCTTGTTATGGTTATGCTTTGTTTAGGTGTCCTTGAAGCCCCCAAATGTCAGTGCCCCCCAGGAGGATCAGAATACACGTGGATGACAGGAACCATTGGAGGCCTTGTTTTGTATGGGATAGCAATAACAGCGGCTTTTTGCTATTGCTGGGTAAGGAATCCTTGCTTTCCACTACTTTTTACACCTCTGCTACATTTATGGGCAGGCACAATTGGGATGCATTCATAGTCTAATGCTGAGCAATAACTCAGGATTTGGAATCCCAATAATTCCTACAGCCACTTAGATAAGAAGAGCCCTCTGCTGGATCAGGCCAAGGGCCCATCTAGTCCAGCTTCCTGTATCTCACAGGGGCCCCACCAGATGTCTCTGGGAGCACAGGAGACAACTAGATATCTGTCTCCTGACACCCCACCCCTGCATCTGGCCTTTGGAGGTACTTGCCCTATTATAGCTGCTTCTGCCACACCAGGCGAATTGAACTGAAATATATAAACAGTTACCTTTGTGATATAAAACTTGAAAGCAAGCAAAAGTCAATAAAGATTATTTTAAAATCAAAACAATGACATTTTTGCAGAAATTTGTGCAAGTTGATAAGATTTCTTTTTCTTTATGCAGATCTCCCACACACACCCTGGAATGTCTTCATGTGCCCCAGTTTGGGAACCCATGTTCCAAACTGGGGGATAAGCTGCATGTGATTTATGGGGCACAGGTGCACCCAGCACTCCCTCAGCCCCCCTCACATACCACACCCTCAATTTCTTAAAATTAAAAGATTTGGGATCAAAACGTTGTCTTGTGCCCTCAAGTAGGGGTTTGGGGGCACTCCTTGGACGCATTCATACAGCCCCATTTTTTTTTACATTAGAACTTTTGGCTGAGATGTATTCTTGTGTGCTCAATGGAGGGTGGGGAACAGTTTTGACATGTTTAGAGAAGGCCCCAATGTCCCCGGGGTCTCCTGGACCTCTGAAAAGGATTTTGTAAAAGATTTGGCCATTAGAGGTGTGCAGGGGAGCTTTTCCAATACACCATCCCCCTCTCTTAACCAGAAGGAATGGGGCATCCGCTACCAGAGGATGTCCCTCAGCCCAAGCCAGGATGGCCATGGCCAGTGATGATAGGTTGTGTAGTCAGCAGAATCTGAAGAGCTCTGTGCCCCCCATTCCTGCTCCTGAAACATCTGCCACAACCTGATACCTCTTTGATATAACTGCAGTCTAATACACTGCCCACCTCTTCAGGCAGGCCTTTAACAATCATCATGTCTGAGTCCCTGAATGCCATTGTTTTTAGTTAAGATAGTTTTGAACATTTTACCTGTTTTTTAATTATTCAACTGTATTTTAATCAGTTATCTTAATGTACATTTTACCATATTTTTAATTCTATTCTTTTTAATACTGTGACCTGCCTTGGATCCCCTGATCGGGATAAAGGTGGCCTATAAAACAGACAGACAGATCTGGAGGGCATCAGATGGAAGAAAGCTGCCTTTTTTCTAGAGTCTGATAGTAGAAGACATTGACTTCATCACTTTTGATGGCTAATGCAGTGGCTACTGTGTCAGTGGGATATGCTTCACACATATAAGGGTCTGATGCCTTGGAATTTGAATCTGACTGGAAAGATGTGAAGGGAGGCAGGAAGAAACCCCAAAGTACTGTAGGGTTATATTGATGCCAGAGTTTGGCAAAGTTATTTTTGGATGACACCTCCCATAACCCTTCACCTGCCATAGTTGCTGGCTGGAGGGTTCTGGGAGTTATAGTTTTTACACATAACTTGGCCAAACTCTTGCCAATGCTTTTAGGAAAGGGATTTCAATGCTGCTGCTGCTGTTTTTGCTGCTTGTCTCCACCTTCTCTTTGTCCCTTTAAAGATAAGGTAAAAAAATAAGACAGGAGATAGAGGCAAATAAATATGGTAGGAAAGTTGGAGGCCCTCCAGCTTGCTTTCCTTGTGAGGAAATGGGCTCTGTAGAGTTCCCTATTTGGATATTCCCTGGTGAGTCACTGCAGTCCTTAAACATTTCACAAGTGTTCTGTTTTAAAATAGAATTAAAGGGTATGGTCACCCAGCATCAGCTCTAGCTTTCTACTCTTCTTTAGGAAGTTGCAGCTTGACAGAGTTGCTCCTGCGGTCAGGCAGGGTATGACAGTGGCTACCTTGGGCTGCCTATTTTGGCTCTCATGAAAGCACATAAAACTGTTAATTCTTTCCCCCCACCTTGATTATTATATTTTTAACCATCTGCAGGTGAGGGTGATGGGGTACTGCCAAAGAGACATTTGTAAACTGTTGTGTCCAGGTGCCTAAATAACATGCCTGGCCTATGCCTATCCACTATGGTGCAGTGTGGGTATTGTGGTAAACAGTACATGTTACTAAACATCCTGGAGCAACAAAATACTTTGGGGAAGCCCTGCACATATGTGGAAGGCAAATGACACACCATTCAGTAGCTTTTGGCTGACAATTGACAAGTCGCTGCTGGGATTCTTGAGCGTGCATGAATCCAATGGGTGGGTGTGCCCCTGAAATTCCAGTGGTGACTCATTAATTGCCCTCTAAAAGGGACTGAATATTATTTCATTTTCTTTCTGCAGGTGCAACAAAGCAACAGGATTTCAGCCAATATTACTGAAATGTTGAATTTGTAAAGATACTTTTCTGAATTAAATCATAGGTATGACATTCCTTAAGGGATGTGGTGGCACTGCGGGTTAAACCGCAGAAGCCTCTGTGCTGCACGGTCAGAAGACCAGCAGTTGTAAGATCGAATCCGTTCTACGGAGTGAGCTCCTTTCGCTTGTCCCAGCTCCTGCCAACCTAGCAGTTCGAAAGCATGTAAAAATGCAAGTAGATAAATAGGTACTACCTCGGTGGGAAGGTAACAACGTTCCGTGTCTAAGTTGCAATGGCCATGTGACCACAGAAACTGTCTTTGGACAAACGCTGGCTCTATGGCTTGGAAACGGGGGTGAGCACCGCCCCCTAGAGTCGAACACGACTGGACTAAATGTCAAGGGGAACCTTTACCTTTACTATGACATTCCTAGCTCTGGACACTGGTATTTAACTTTCTCAGCAAAACTGTTACTTCCTGGCAGCTATTCCAGCATTAGAAGGAAAGAGTGCTCACTTGCACAATTCTCTAGTAAGATTATGTGTGAGCTCCCAATACCTCTTGTGTCCACAAAGGTGATACCAAACGAACAAACAAACAAACAAAAACCCCACCTCTTTACATCATTCTTCAAAGGGTGGAGAACTGATGTGCAAGTGACTTGTTCATCTGCTTCCCTTGCTTTGGGATATTGTGGCAAAAGGTTGGATTTAAAGCATCCCCCTTATGGAAAAGTGTGTCTGAATCAGAGGATCGTGTATTTCCTTACCAGAGAGGGATGTGCTCCTTCTTTGTAGAGTCCCAGAAATATGTCAAGAGGATGCAGAAGGCATTGTCGTACTACTACAACAAATGAGCAAACCGATTCTATTTGTCGTATGGTGACTATCTCCCCTATCATTTTCCCTATAGGTAAAAAGTAAGAAGAGAAAGATTGTTCGGAATGACTATTTCAACATGACACCCTGGCAGGTGAATGGCGAAAGGAAGAAATATCAAACAGGTGGTCCAGTAAGGAATTACACTGCATATCGCTCGTGGGAACCATGAGGATTGGTCATACACATGACCTCTTCTCTACAGTGGAAGTACAGACAGATACCTTTGGATGTCCGTGGCTGCTGTCAAGAGAAAAGGACAGATCTTGGAGTTCTTCACACCGGGAAGGACAAAAAGGATAAGTTAGTTTCAAACTAATGATACAAAAGAACAAAACTTGACATTGGACTGTAAATATAGTCACTTAAACCTACTACTTATGTTAGGTGAACAGTGGTTTCATCTGCATTGTAGATCTTTCCTGTTCATATTTGCCTCAATATCAAAGTTCTACTCAGACTCTGGGAAAATCAACCGGAAAAGAGCAAGGGTAAAGATCTGCCTTCTTTTGTGTCAAAGGGGGAAAAACTGTATTTAGAGTTGAAAACGTACACACAGCAGAAAGGAAACATCATGCTTAGTAGTCCAACTCCTATAAAGAACAACATAGTATTTGTAAATGAAGTGTTTGATTATCTGTAGATAGCTTTGCCATGTAACTGCATAGACTGAGTATCAGTTTTTTTTCCTGATGAACAAATTCCACCTCCTGCTACAACCATCTACCTGCAAGTATTCTGATGGAAGGGTGGGGTCTATAGCCAAATGGGAAGTCTCTTGAGATTGACAGTCTTTCATCAAAGCCCAGACAAAAGTCATAGATGATGAAGCAGACAAAAAAATCCAGGCTGAGACGAGGGATTAGTTCTATAAGACTCCAACTGTCCTTGGCTCCTTAGGAAATGCATAACAGATAACAGCAGGAAGCACTTTAATTTCTTGGCATCAGGCATGGTCTAGAAACTGGGATGATGACATGGAAATGGTTCTGCAGCTGTAACAAAGAAAAGTTTAGAATTTAAAAGAAAATAGTTTTATTCCTGTGCATGACTGATTATGACAAATCCAGATTTGTATGTTCTGTTCTGTCTCTTCGATCTTGTCATAATTCTAGTTGTTTTTTAAGTCAAAAGGCCAGCCCTGTCTGCAAAAACCATCCCTCTTCTAAGTTGGTTAAGGGGCTCCAACTTTTTAGAGTAGCCACAATCTGGTTGCTTGGTATAGTAAATTGCACTAGAGTAGGCCCACTGAATGAGGGAGGATTTAGCGAGTCAACTCCTCTGTAAGGTCCATGGATTCAAATGGGCCTACTCTAAATGTCACTTGTTGTAGCAGAGTAAGTTGCAGCTAGAGTAAGCCCATTTGAATCAATGGAATTTATGGAGGAGCTGATTCACTAAATCTCCAGTGATTCAACAAGCCTGCTCTAGTGCAATTTACTATGCCAAGATACAGTGTTTTGGCCAGCGTCATATATAATTACTTGGGTAACCTTACTAAACTGGAACCAACACATAATATCTCATTTTTACTACCTAAGTGGCAGTCATAGCCATTATGTACTGTTTCAGAGAGGAATCAGACATGGTGGCTTAGAAGGGAGAGAGGAGAGCCCAGTACAATACTCAAGAAGCCATTGAAATCCACAAGCACCAGCAGAACTTCAACAAAAAAGAGGAAAGTTTGAGTAGACATGGTCTAGAGGGGCGGGGTATAAATTTAATAAATAAATAAAATAAATAAATAAACTCAACAAAACTTGGCTTCCAGCTCTGAAAAATACAGTGTGTGAAAGGTCAACGACCTCTACCCAGCCACAAGGACCGGGGATCACTACACGCAAAAGACCAGCTAGACACCCATCAATCACAGTGACAGATAATCTCTCCTCCTTATCACAACAATACACCCACAACAAGACACACTATTCACCCATCCCCTGAATAGAACAAAAGCCTATCTCACAGCCATAAATACTCCACTCCCAAGCAAACTACACCAGAGCACAGAGTGCTGTCCTCTGAAGATGCCAGCCACAGAGACTGGCGAAAAATTAGGAAGAACAACCTTCAGAACACGGCCAAAAAGCCTGAAAAACACACAACCATGTCAGCAAAACTTTGAAAAGTTCTTTTTTAAAATGGTAGCTCCCAGAATCCCTTGGCCAGCATTGTAAGTATCCATGGTGGCTGCGACACTCTGGGAACTGCAGTTCATACATACACATGCACAACACTTTTTGCAAGCTCCGTAAGACATTAATCACACCCTGCCTGAGGATGCAATCTGCTTATCTGGCAAAGAATGGGCTTTTGTTTCTTTCCAAGGAACCCATTCTTTGCAACTTCTTTGCTACGCTGCGTATAGCCTTTGCCTCTTGGCTGTAGATTAGGGGCAGGAAACTGACAACCTTTGGAATATTGTTGGGCTGAAACTGACCATGAGCTGTCATAGTGTAAATGGGAGATGTGGTTGGCTGGAGGGCCACAAGTTCCTCATCCCTGTTCTTGGTAGTACTTCTGCTCCAGGAAGAGCACTTTTTATGTATTTGATGTGCCAAATCTTGTATCTGGCAAACATGGGAGCCTTGGTAGCTTAAGGGAGATGAATTGGAAAGGTTGTCTTTCTGAAAGATCACATCAGCTGTACGCTGTATGGTTGCACAAACAGGGTTTCAGCTCTTGTTCCTTAGCTTTGTGTTTTGGCCCCAGGTTCTTTTTTTTTTTTTTAAAGAAGGTTTTATATTTTCCATAATGTGCTGAAGAAAGCTTCAGCTTTGAACAGCAACCACTTTTCATTATTCATCCATGTATTTAGGTGGCACGGATGCCTATCCTAGCCCTTCGTTTGGCCTGACCTGCTTCCCCCACCTCTTGCCCAAGAGGATGTCCCTGAAGGGCCTCTGATCGCTTTCATTGTATTATCCAATAGGCTGGATAATACAGTTTGTTACCTCAGAATGACTTGATCTCCCAAAGAGCTTCCTGGCAACCCTCCTATTTCAAGCACGGCAACACTCCTGCTTTCAATGTCTATTTATCAGCAGCACTATTTCTCCAGACATTTACAGTAGCCATGTGGGCACTGCTGGAGCCATGTGGCTTCTTTCATTCAGAGATTACTGTTGTGGAATTGCTGAAAGCCTTCTTTCATGTTAGCGAGCGTAATGCTGAAGTCATGTCGTTCTGGAGGAAGCTTTTCAAGTGAGCTGAAAGTGCTTCGTCGGGAGGGGTACTCTTTCCCATATTACACATGTTATGTGGTATCAAGTCACGTTGGACTTATGGCGACTCTTAATAGGGGTTTCAAGACAGGTGAGATTGTTTACCGTCACCTCCCAAGAGTCCCCATGGCTGAGCCGTGATTTGAATCCAGGACTTCTGAATCTTGATCCACTCCACTCTGTTACACACACATGCCTCATTCTGTTCCATTTTTGCTTCTAAACATGTTGAGTGTGTTTTTTGTGACAGTATGGGAAGTCACTCAGCTTATTGAATTAATTATGGGCTGTCAGGTCAATTCCAGTTTCTTTCAATCCCTTCCAAACTAGGTAGAGGGTACTCAGAAAGGGCTTTCCCTTCCCTTCTTCTGGGGGTGCCCTGGGACTGTGCAGCTTGCCCAAGGCTTACACAGGCTGGCTCTTCTCCTGGGAAACACGGTGATCAATCAAACTCTATTTTTGCTTCTATAGCCAGCTATCCAAGTCAGTAAGCTATCCAGCTAGCCTGTTTATCTGAGTTGAAAACAGGATTTAATGCCCACGTCAGGCACAGCAATGCTTCTTTGAAACAGTCTTAATCTCTTGGAATAAAAGATTGTTTTCCTCTGATTTCTAGTCATTAATCAGAGTGAGGAAGTTTTTGAAGGGAAAGAATTGCTCTTTTTAACCAAATTTAACATCGTTCCTTCAGTCTGTTAGTCCAATAATTGCAAGCCCCACACAGTATTTGATGAAGTGCAAATAGTTGCCTTCACCTCATGCTCCCCCATGCCTCGCATTGGCTGGATGTGGGATGTGGCTGTGGCGGGTTTAATGGTTAGCTTTGTTTACACACATTTACATGAGTTTGTAGAGAAGGCATTGAGATTGATTTATTATTTAGGAATCATTTGTCAAAGAGCAACTTGCCATTGTTGGCTGCACTGAACAAACAAAATAGATTTATCCACAGATCTGCTCTTCTTTGCCCATTGGGAATGTGTCAACCTAGCATGTGTTTGATAGATCAAGCAATCAGCTGGAGCAAAGATGGGCAATATCTAATGATCCAAAGGCTGTACATGGCTCCTGAACTTCAGGAGGCCACACCCTCTCCCATGTCATGTCTGCCCCCAAAATACTTTTCTTTTACTGAAAAAACCCCTCATGCCCTCCAATATACATATTTTTATATGGGGGAAAATTGAGATGTGAACCAAAACATGGCAAGATTGCCTCCTGAACCTTCTAGAGAGCACAAGGGAACTTCCTGGGCCAATTTTTAAAAATTAAAATTTGGAGGGGCTGATTTGGAGGGCATGTGTGGGACACAGAAATGGTAGGGGCTACATTTGCCTATCCTGAGCTAGAGAAACCCATTGTAAAAAATTAATATGAATACAAAGGCATTAGTGGACAAATTGACTACTTTGGGTCGGGGAACATTTGGCCCTCCTGATAAGTGCAAAACAACACTACAAACAAGAGTGCTCAACTAATATTATGTATTGAAATATATAGCAAGCTCTAACTTTATGTTAGAGTATTGCCTTGCTTGCAGGAAGATGATGCAAGCCTCAATCGCTCCTGTTTCTGTCCGCATATGAAGTCATTTCCTTTTGTTCCTCCTTCATGGCTTGCTATGAGTTTTGAATTCATGATAAAAATCCTTTTTGCTGCACAGTTGAAGTACAGAGACTCACAGAGGAAAATATCTACAAGTCAACTCCTTTCTCCTTAACTGGCACTTGATATCTCAATAACTCACTCTGAGATATTTGTAAGAGAAAGAATAAAAAAATATTTCTTTACTTATGGTTGCTTGAAATAACAGACTTGTACATGTTGCCTTTTATACTGCACATATATTTAGCAACCAACTGGACTGATCAACAGCAAACAACCAACTACCACTAGCCACAGAAAGAGAAAGAAAGAACACCCGGCAGAGAGGTGGGGCTGTCTTTGAAAGCAAAGGCTCGAAGGAACAACTGTTTTGTGCTGGATAGACAATCAACCCAGCCCAGAAAAATCCCTCCGAGCCACTCAAAACACAGATAATATGCAAAGTTGCAAATAAAACCCCCAAAGTCCTGAGGCTCACTGGGCTTGCCTCTTAAGAAGGCTGTTGACAACAACGTTCACATTAATCGCACTATCTGGGATTGGTAGGAACTGTGCACTGAGATGGTGGGAGGGCTGAAGGTTTCCTGATCCTGTGTTGCATCATCGATGGTGGCTTAGTCACTCAATTAAATAAATGCAAATATGGCAGATTTGATTATAAAATCTTCTTGCCACTGTGTTCTTATTGCTTCATCCACAATAACAGTGAAGACTGATTGGCTAGTATAGGTGGGACAAGCAAAAAGGATGGGAAATACGCCTGGGCAGAGAGGTGTGATATGTGTGAGTTCCACAATAGGTAGTGGTGGTAGAATCAAACCATCTGAATGGAAAAACAGTAAACAGTGGTGTGTGCGCGCACACACCTGTGCACACATACATAGAGTTTTATGGAGAACTTCCAAATGGAAGACAGTGGAAATCTGGAGAAGAAGCAAAATAAGGTCTGGACATTCAGATCAGGAATGGCGGCAATAACAGAAGAGGTCTGTGGCTTTGGCAATCTGCAAAATTTGATGTGGAAGCTTTTATGAATGGACCAGGTTTGGAGCAACCCATGGGAATGTTTCGGCTCTC